ACTTAGCCTTTTTAGGGGGTGGTGAACCAGGTCTTCTCCACTGTTTTGATTGTTGTTTTGTTTTCGGTGTACAGTAATGAACTCATGTTTCGTCCATAGTAACAAAACGATTCAAAAAATTATCTGCATCGGCTTCAAATAACTCCAAACAGTCGCGTGAAATAGTCAATCGCGTCCTTTTTTGTTCAACTGAAAGCAGTCGCGGAACCCACCTCGCAGACACCTTGTGGAAACCCAACTCGTTGACAATGATGTTTTAAGTTCGTTAATAAGAGATGCCTATAATCTCGGCTATCTCTCTAATTTTTAATCTGCGGTCTCCCATTATTAAATCAAGTACTTTTTTAATATTTTCGTCAGTAGTTGACGTCGAAGGCCTTCCAGAGCGGGGTTCATCTTTCACACTCTCTCTACCACGCTTAAATTCTGCTATCTATTTTTTGACGGATCAATATAACAGAGCACAATCGCCATGTACTGACCATGTCATCATGGATGGCTTTTGATGATAGCCCCTTCTTATAGAGGTACTTAATGACGGCACGCTGCTCGATTTGCTCCATTCGCAGAAATTATGTCCGATTACTTTGTTAATAAATTTATAAAATCACAACTAATTATCGCACACGTTTCGAACTTCACACAATGAACTAGTCTGAACTGAACTAAATAATTTGGGTAGATTTGATTTTTAGAATTGAATGGATCTGTGTTAGGCCGAGTACTTTTCAATCCATATTAAAATTTGTCATCATAATAAAATGCTGACTATTTATACCAATAACAATAAAAGTGCAGCGCATTGTCTATAGTTTAAATAATACCACTTTTATAATATTTTTTGCGTATTTACTCATGTAGATATCTGAGTGAATGGGGCTGTTAGTTTAGCAAGCACAGGGATGATATTACAAAGTGATTTTGTTATATTTCTTCTAGTCATTCCTTGTTATAATGATATTCTCTTATAACATAAATACGTTACTTAGGCTACCAAAAATAATAATATGTGGTCTTATTGTGTGATGACACAAAAAGCAACAAATATAATACTTTATATAATTTGTTATGATTAAATTGTTCTTGTAAGTAACGTACTCTCTCGTAGTAGAGACGATTGCCTTAATAACTAAATACCAGAAGTAAACTGTATATCCCTCTATTTTTTTAATATTATAGTGTTTCTAACACACGTGATCACAACGTATTTACAAATTGAAGTTATACATAGTGAAAACAATGGCTTTAAAGCTTTCTAACTGACGCCTTCTTTCACCGAAGTTCGCTTGTGTCGCCTCAGAAATGTCCTGCCTAATGCTCTTATTACGTACGGTTTAAATCTGACGTCGGGATCATGTTTTATGCATCCGAGTGCGCGATGAAACCCGCCAGTGTAATATATGAAGACCGCGGCCAGGGGATTTCACAAGCTATGTTATTGTACACTTTATTTTTGACTATCTAACTGTGACCTGTTTGGACCTGAACAGTATGGGTACGCTCTTATTGCTTGTCGAATTTTTGAACGATATTTTGAAAATCTGATTGAAACCACCGATTGCACCCGCGTAAAAGTCGAGAGCTCTTTTGCAGCTATCTCTCAAGTTGTACCGGCCCCCCCTCATGGGCATATATATATATATATATATATATATATATATATATATATATATATATATATATATATATATATATATATATTTGCATACATATTATATATATGATATTTGCCATAGTTGCCACTTGTTTCATTTTTTTTAATCTTTAAATTATGTATTACTTAACGTAAATCCTCATTGCCATGAAAGGGCCTCATGTTCATCAATAATGAAGGTCTTATGAAGATGAAATTCGAACCCAAGAATTCAATTTTTTATGGATATTATGGTAGCAATAGGCGGGAAACTTATAGTCCGTATTAAAATAAAACATTTACCTAAAAAAGATTACTTGGCCCTTTCTATTTGTTAGTACTTACCTACGACGACGATGCACGATGATGGTTTAGCAATAGATTTAAAGAGAAGAGATTTGTCTCGATGCATGTGATCATCGACTAGATGAGACAGTGATGTTATGCGTATCATAATGCTTTGCGACATCAAATTAGTGTCGCATCATCATATATCGTACTCCATTCGTCAAAATCTTGCAGTAGTAAATACAAACGGAGAAAGGCCATGATGGAATAGGATACCAGTGTGAAATAGCAATATAATGCTGCCTTGTTTCGTATAGTGAGTGATGAAAATTGTATAAAGGAGATCCTTTGTGCAGTTAACGAGGCATTCCGTCTTATCCCTTGGGGATGGAACACGTCTGCATTTTGATTCTCAATAGAGAATAGATGTAGATATTCAAGAGCCACAGCAACAACTCATCATCATGTGGATGTTCGTTCGTTTGTCATCTACTTCTATCTCTATACATAAAAATCAATTGCTGTCCGTTAGTCTCGCTATAACTCAAAAACGGCTCGAACGATTTTGGTGATATTGGTTGGTTATTTATTTCCATGCATTATCCGTGTTTTATGGTGGCAAATATAATCAAAAAAATTAAGCGTTAGACAACGATATTGTAACAAATAATAAATGGATCGCACACCGCGCCGAATCTTGTCGAGATTTCAAGAGATACTCGTAATATACGCGTTGCCAACATCGATGATACCTCGACAAAGATGTTGCACTACTTTTGCACCGACCGATGAAGAAAACGCCTAATTGTTGATACTGAAAGCAGACTGATGAGTTCAATTGGGATTGATGTATATTTTTCTGTGAAGTGTCTTCAATTAGTATGACGTGAGAAATATTTTAAGACAAAACACTTTAAAATAGAGTAATATATTGTCATCGTTCATTTTCCTTTTTATGATGCGTTTTGTACAAGAATAAAGCTAAATGTTTTATAACTGGATTCCTTGTAGTTGATCACACTATCACTAGGTATATTACTATCATGTTATCTATGGTTTACATTGTTGGTTACCAACGCTTAATTTTGAATACGTTTACTCATTATTCAAATTATAATAAACATTATTTAATAATAAAAAATATTAATTTTATGATGTATGAAATAAAAAACATTAAGTTAAAATTCTATAGAGAATGAAAATGGAAATTTAATATACGTACAGGAATGTTGTTTTCATATAACTTATTACAATTAAATCTCCTTAGGGTTGTGTAAGTATTTGTAATTTGTAATAGCCAACGTTTTTGCAATTCATCGAACGTAGGGAAACATTTGCATTCTTGAATGCGTCCCAAAATCCTAAAGCGGTGCTGTTATCAATTCCCCGAGCAACAAGTGGCCAATAATTCTGAACCCGGCTGCAGTGGCGGTGCCACTTGCTGAACAGGACTTACGCTATTCCTTCAAAGGAACATCTCAGTTGGATTGGGGTAGGTACTTTACACTTGACTCGAGAATTCATTCGTTACAGTATTTTATTCGAGCTTTTGCCAGTTACTGCGAATAATTTGTTTTATAGAGCTTTAGTTCCCTCAGTTTGGTTGATGTTTATATTTAAGATATCTACTGTTTTTTGAAGACTGACTTCTTTAGCCGCGTTGAGCAATTTTTGGTAGAGGAAAAATTTATAGGTTCGCGTCACCGATGACCTCGACATGCTACTACGCGTCGTTGCTCCTTATACGCATATATCATTGAGTTTTCACCTCTGTCGGCAGTCCTCATAACTACCTCTGTTTTTTTTTTGTTTATAGTGGTCTCAGTATTAACTTAGGAAGTTAAACTCCACATTTTCAGAACAACTCTTTTCAAATTTCGTACCCATTCTATACGATATATACTTTAACGTTACCGTTACAGTCTATTAAAGTCCACTGCTGTACATAGGCCACCGCCATAGATTGCCTCATAGGGGGGGATATTTGCCATAGTTGCCACGCTTAGCAAGCGGGTTGGCAATCGCAGTTTTTTTATTTTTATTCCTTATTAGGAAGACGCTGCTGCCTATCTCCTGATTTGTTTCCCTCTATTACCTCTTAAGATACTCACGGGATGATACGAGGTAGTAGATATTCTTACACCGACACTGTACGGTTGGATTGGTTATACTTTAAACTTTTGTATTATTTGACCCCATTTTAATTTTAATGTTTCTTCCAACAATTTTTTAGTTTTTTTTTCACTAGTACTTCTTAAAAGTAAATTTTAATAGTGTAGGAGAGAATTTAATTCTTATTTACTAAAAGTATGATATGAAATACGTGAACGTGATACGTAACAATAACATATAAAGCATATTGTGTATGACTGTGAAGAAAACGTATGACATTTCATTTTGATTCTCAGGTATAAAAAACGCATTTGTTTCTTCTTTGTTTGAAATTGGCTGCCAGCTGGTTGGATAGCAGCTAGGTATCCAAAAACTGTAGTAGCCACTTAATGTCAGTTAAACTGACAGCTCATTTGATGGTAACTATATATTATAAAAAGAAACATTTTAAATACAAGTGTGAAATTTCATACGTTTAAGGGAGTAATTAATAACGCCTTACCCTCTTGGTGTTTACACTATGAGAGTAATTTGTCAAGTCAAAGCAAACAGTAACAAAATGCCTGCACGTCTGTATTCATGTCTGTTTTATCCTTGCAATTATGAAATTCTTATTTCTACGAAATAATGGTGGGACGGCGTCATTCAAAGTGTAATCCTTGCATTTTGTTGTTTGAACTTCTTCGAAGTTCGCGTGTTTGTCTAATAAAGCAAGTCGTTTTGCATGTTTTGAAACCAAAATAACCAAGTTTAAATTTACTTCGAGAAAGTTCATTTCAGTTCTTTCATTTCTCCTTGAGTTTATGTAGAACGAGTCTAATTCTTGGTCAAATTGCCTGATTTAGTTTTACTAGAAAATCAATGAAACAATCTTTTATATTTAAACACAATGTTTTATTAAAGAGAGAGCACAGTTGCAGTAGCATAGTTAGGACACGTCTTGAAGCAGTGATAATTACTAATGCAATTAGAATATTGTAATAATCGACCTCTTTATTTTAAACTTAATTTACCGTAAGGTATATTTATAAATTACCGTTATGCAGTTTGGGAATGTTAAACATGTGCAATACGTACGTTATGGAAGACGTCTATAGTAGTATCACGAAAACTTGCATGTCCTAGGAATTATTTTTTTCATGTCCAATCAAGGACATGAAAAGTTTCTTAAATAAAAGTGAACACTGAAGGAGCGTGGCTAACTATTCTCTGTTCCAATATTTGCTCAAATTTGGAGCGTGTTTTGCAGACACATTGTTTTTAATAGTTGCGTCTAAAAGGGACATGTCTCAGCCAGTCTGCCCAAATATTCCCTACACCATATGCTTATCACGTCAGTTTGGCGATAAATAAAAAAAAACTTCGTCGTCATCATCATTACAGCCTCCCTAATGAATGCAACAAAGCAATCTCCTGAGCCCCCCGCATCCATCCACTTCCTACATATCTCACCAGGTCTTCAATCCATCTAGTGGAGGGACGCCCTACACTTCGTCTACCAGTACGAGGCTACCACTCGAGATCCTTTCTTCCCCATCGGTTGTCGATTCTTCAAGATATAATATAGATAGATTAGCCGGCCCACTGCCACATCAGCATACTAATCCATTTGGCTGTGTCGAGTACTCTGGTTCTAGTGTGGATATTCTCATTTTTAAGTCTATCACGCAATAAAACCCCATGCATAGCCCTCTCCATAGCTCGCTGAGCGACTAAGCTTCCTCATACGGCCCGTAGTGAACGACCACGTCTCAGATCCATGTCATCACTGGCAACACGCATTGGTTGTAAAATCTCGTTTTGAAGTTTTGCAGTGGGCCAGGAAAACATGAAGACATAATGTAATAGATCAAGCTCATATTGAAAATGCGTTCAGTAAAAACGTATGAAGTATATGAAAAAAACGCAATATACATGGGTCAAATTTTATTTCCTTCTATTCAGAAAATGGAAGTTGACAGAAATAGCTTCATTAGGGGTAAATTTTTCTAAACGACTTCTGTTCAGTGTAGTTAGCAGTCCACTTTAATTGGATGTGTAAAATTGCTCTATGTCTGTCAGATTTTCGGATAGGATTTTATGTTATATTATAATGCATCTTATTGCCCTTGACCCATACGGAAGAATTTATACTGAAATCCTGATATCTGTAATCTATGTATAAATTTATGCAGAACTTGAACCCCGATACATAAATCTTGAAGCGGTCACATACCGTAACGTCATTAAGAACCGTCAGATCTCAAGTCCAACTGTATAAACTAGCGTTTGCTACTACTATTTGCGTACAAAGCAATTAAACGACGTATTGACTGATATTGTTATTTACCGTCACTCGTATTTCATGTGAATGTCAAACAATTATTGATAACAAAGTAATTTATTTCCCTAGGAATTTCAATCTGCGACCTTTACAATATCTACAACTATCCTTTCACGTTTTAAACTTCTTTTACTTTTATCCCTGACAAATTACAGAGTACAGGGCATCATCTAAACCGTGCATAATACGCTCCGCATCTTCCTCGAAGACGAATGGTTATAAAATGAAAAAGGCCTGCGGCGTCTTAAATTATTTTAATTGGCTTCGGTAGCTCTTCGGAAAACGTGTTTATGAGTAAACTACGAAATTCGTGTGGGATACCTATATGTGAATCTACTAGGAATTGGTATTATATTCGATCCATTATTTGATAATGAACCAATTCGTTTATTCTTTTGTTTTTTATTTCTTTGCAGAGCGATCAAGTCTTTTAAAATAGGTTTATTCTTATTTTAAATAATAAAAAAGTTAATTTTAATATGACAGTTCGTAGCAGGAAAAGATTTGGGTAACTTCTGAAGTGTTAATACGTTTGAGAAATTTGTTGTTTGCTCTTATTTCTCGGCGATAGAGTTTTAAAAGGTTTTGTTTTCTATAAAACTTTGTTACTCCCGACAGCGAAGAGTAATGCCGAACAAGCAAAAACAATTAACAAATTGATAAGCTCAAAACAATTTTCAATTAACTTCCCCAGGAGTGTTCGCTGTTTACAAATAACCGTCATTTATCAGAAATGCCTATGCAGTTTTTAACGTCTGATTTCATTCAGGGCTGCCTCATGCTAATGTTAATACAATAATATAAATTTGAATCTCTATACAACCGTTAATTTATAGAGATATTAACGTTAAATTAGATAAAATACATGAATAAGTTTTTGTCGACCCTGCAAAAAATTGTACGGGATATTTTGCTTTTCTTTATATTAGTTGTTAATTTTCTTACTTTTTCAATTTCAGAACGAAAGCGGGGAAGGCAGACATACACCCGGTACCAGACCCTCGAGCTGGAGAAGGAATTCCATTTCAACCGGTACCTGACGCGAAGGAGAAGGATCGAGATCGCACACGCGCTCTGCCTCACCGAGCGCCAGATCAAGATCTGGTTCCAGAATCGACGCATGAAATGGAAGAAAGAGAACAAAACCAAAGGCGAGCCAGGCTCTGGAGACGAGCCGGACAACATGAGTCCGCCGACATCGCCACAGTAAAACCCTTAGCTTAGTTTTGGTCAGCGGCCGGCAATCTGAAACAATCTCGGTACGTTTCAGATTCCTTCCAACCGATGTAACAACGACAATTTATTTTGATACGTTCAATTTGTGCGCTTAAATCTGACACAATCGACTCGAGGGCCGAAGTTACTAGAACTTTAATTTGTATAAATTGTATGTTGGACTTTTCATAATATTACACTATACCTAACTAATACGTAACTTAGTGACTTGGCATAAAGAGTAATGATAGTGTGATGAAGAGATTTTTACAGTTGTTAAGTATAAATTAATTTATAGAACAATCTCAATACCAATAATTACCAAAAAAAGCAGTGTTTAAATATTTGTAAAACTGCATCGTTTATGTGATTAAATATAGCTGGATTATAATTTGAAAACTGGACAAAATTATACTATATTCCGTTGCAATTGATTTCGTACACCTGTTTCTGTCAAAGTGTTCGACTTTTAATATATGTATAATTGATTTTTATTTAGTAATCTGTTACCTGCTGCTATAAACTCTATAAAATGAAACTATTTTGAAAAAAAAAACCGATAGGATATAGTTACTTATACGGTCGAACACTTAGACAGAAAATAACATTCTTCTTACTTACCTACATTGAATCACAAAACCATAAGGACCTCTTATAATTAACCATTGATGAGAAGGCAATTAGAATCGATATTGTTATTATTTAATATATTTGAAGTTTTATTTCTAATTAAGCTATCAGAATGCTATTTTGTACATATAAAACATGGTAAAGTTTAGAATTTATAATTATGTACAATTGTTTTAGTGTGAATAATATTATTGAGATTATTTTTTTTTTGGAATAAAAACATCAATTGTTTTTTTTTTGTTATTTTTAATCCATTGGGAATGAGTGTTCAGTTTGTGAATTTACTGCAGGTTTTTTTTTATAAATTTACTTTGTAGTGAGAAGGCCAGTTTATACAAGTGCAATGTATACGATTTTTCGAAGACAACATTATACGTAATTGATACTGATTATAAAGTAATACGAAATCTAATATTATTATTGTAAAATGAAACTAATATCTCTTGATATAATTTTATTAAATTCTTCTACACGAACAAATACGTCGTGCCATTTGATGGAGCTAAGTGTGGACAAAATTCTTCAATTCCAACTGTATTCGTCGAAGAACGTAATCATAATGGAATAAAAGTTACCTTCAATCTCGTAGATGTGACTCTATACTTATTTACTTTATAATTTAAATATATGGGTGGTCGATAGTTGGGACGAGTACACAGTATACCAAAGTTAGAGAATACATCGCTGATTTCTTATCATCCAACAAAATATACTGTTTAAATAATATTATGTACTTAGCATATGGGTATCGTTTGGCCACAGTATGTCTCTTGAAGACACGTAGCAAGAGGTATTTTTATAAAATCATTGCCTAAAGAAACGTATATACGTAAAAAAGAATATCGAAATTTAAATATTTACATGTAACTCGTTAGTTGAACGATTATAATTGAGAGGGATGATTGAGGTTTTGTTAGGAATCAGGAATTCCCAACTTACTTGTTTAGCTGTAATGTAAAATATTTATTATAAATTGTTTCTTTTCTTTCTCACACATAGTAATGTAACTAGTGAATGTTTTGACTTAGAACTCAGTGAGCCTTGTCATCCTTTACACATCCATTTTGTGCTGTGTTCGTTATATAAGTGTACATTGTAATAACTGTATATTGTCGATATTTACACGATATTTATTTATTGATTCGCTTAATTAGGTCGGTACGTTTACTTGCTGTGGTGTTCGTAAATAGTTCAGTCGCTGTCTGGCTGGGATGTTATTTTTATTATTTGTGTAAAATTTGCTCAAACCATCAAATATTTGTGTTGTATAATGTCTATTAGCATTAATAAATTTTTATTTGTAATAATTTACAAATTTTTTCTTACATCATAAATACCTTGTTGTAGTCATTATTTAAATAATTATAATAATTTGCAGTTAATGTGCAGTGCAATGTAATGAGAATGCAAAAAAATTAAGTCCCTTGCCAGATGGATTTATCCAATTTGAACTTGATTTGTAAAGTTTTTTTTTTATAAAATATAATTAAATTAATTGCAAACTTTACTATTAGGTTTTAATCTAAGTACCTACTGGCATGTGTCCTGGAAGTTTCTAAAAAAAATCGAAATTAGGCCCGTAGAAGTTATGACGAAACCAATTTGAATTGTTTTATTTACCATTATGTCCTATCAATTCAAAATTTATGGAATATAACTATAATTAGTAACTTAATAAGATTAGGCGAGACGATATTGTCATAAATATATAAATACATGAAATTAATAAAGCATAATGATTGTATTCACAAGATTTTTATTCCATTCCTGATAATTTACTTATTTATTAACCATGTTATAAATGTACTTATACTCCAATGAATAAAGTAAAAGTTAGGTATAATTAAGTTCTTATTTTAATCTAGATTTATTGAAATGGAAAGGTGATATTACAAAAAGCTAAGACTTCTACATACTTCTGCAATATGTATGTACGAAAGCACATACATATAAAAATATAACACAATCTATAATTTAAATACTATTAATATGCATAATGGATTAAGTATACTTCTTGTACTAAGCCAATCATATGCATTATCGTACTTAGTTAAGAGATAGGTGTAACATTAGCTATAGTTAATGTTTATATTAACTCAAACTGATTGTAAGTAAAGCATGTGTAAGCATGTTACAAACTTAAGTCATACATATATTTTAATTTTCTCGCATGTAAACGTTTGCTTATATTCAATTTTGGAATTAAAACTAGATGTAATTAACTTACACAAAACTAGTTACCGATTCTCAAATTTCCAATAAGACGAATCTCTCAAACAGAACATAAATTTATGTAGATAATATTTTGAAATAGGTACATATATAAAATGAACAAGATTTTTGCTAGAGTCAATTATTAACTTATGAAATTAAATAACTTTAAAATAAATCTGTCCTTAAATACTATATATTTAATTGGCTCTAGCAAAAATCTTGTTCATTTTATATATGTACCTATTTCGAAATATTATCCTGGCAAATAGTAATTAATTGGTTATTTTGTTTAAAAGAAAACATGAACTCGGTGTGTTCATGTTAGTTTGTGAGCAATCTTACGCTTTTCCGGGCAGATTGTGAAGCAACATACAACATTACAATACTTGCCCCTAACGACGAAATAATGATTTCGCGTGATACGGGCACGGTTCCTTCCGTATCAGTCACGGCTGATTGGTCCCCGCCGCGCCCCCCACAAATCTGGAAATTGCTTTTTTCTGTTTCAAAACACGAACCGGGTTATTTATACGGCTAGGTGTGGTCGACGCTAATGACTTTTTAATAATCCCTCGCGTCCAATGAGCGCTGAAGGCGCACCATTATTCTCCTCGTAAGGTGAACTAATGCGTTTTTGACAAGTTTGAAATTGAGGTAATTATGGTTTGCAGGGTTTTAAATGGCCACGTATTTATCTGTTGGACGTTTCAGTAATGCAATAGGCGCTGCGGAAGTCATTGGTAGATATTTTTTTGTAATCAAAAACACTCTTTTGTGTTGCCATGTTTGACCCGACCTATAATTATTTTTATGATTTGATGTGATTGTGGTATAAAATAATTTGACTTATTTTTGGAAATGAAACAATTTTTTTATCTCATAATTCTCATCAGTTCACTGTCGGATAAGGGACACCCCATCGCATAGGCCCTTTAGTAGTAAGGATCTTATTATAACAAGTAGGTAGGTAGGTATTGTAAGTCTATGTGCGTAGGATTTATCAAAATTTTGTAAATTCAAGATGCGTTGTCAATAATTTTTAACCGACTTCAAAATGGAGGAGGTTCTTGACTCGGGTGTATGTTTTTTTTTGTGTGTACGTTACGCGATATCTTCGCAAATTGTGTTTATTAAATAGGTTTATACTTCAAAGGTGGTCCCATATACTTTAAGAGAAAAAATTTCACCCCTAACGGTAGCAAATACTTTAATTATTATATTAATTATGTACTTCTTTTTTAGAAATTTAAACTCTCACTACAGGTACCAACATATGTCTACATTACATTCCTATTCGTTCTATACCTATCATATAATACAGTACTAAGTTCTAAAGTAGGTACAGGTATCACGTATTTGAGTGCTAGATCAAAAGGTCATTGTAAATTGGTCAGTCAGTCATCCCGGGCCGCGATGACACCAAGTGTTATTTATGTGACTCTCCTTCAATGTGTAGCACATTGCACTTGCCACAGATTGGGTTCACGGCCGCGACGAGATAATAACACTGTTTCGTATGTCATTCATCAGACTCGTGGTGATATTATGCCATTTGATCATTGAACTTGGAAATATTTTCGCGTATTTCTTCTACAGTTATAGTTTTTATTAATTATTCGTGTTAAATAATTATTTTTTAATTAATTTGTCTATAACAATAATTCTAAAGCATTTGCTAAAAATATGCAAATAAATAAAATATATAAATATACGATTATATGAACTTTACAGCTATTTACAGACACGAAATAAGCTTGCTATCTTTTAGCACTTGATTCTCAGCTATTAATATATTTCACGGTTGTGTCGTATAAAACTGCCTAGGTCTAATCTATTTATCTAATCTCTAATCTCTACAACTGAAGGATAATATTGTTTTTTTCAGTTCTACTCTAAATTTGAAATAGACTTATATTATTTTTTCTTTTACTAGTGAGGTAATGGTAAATCGACAATTTCAATCAACAATTGGCGTGGACACTGGGGTTTGAATTTGCATTTTCGGATCATTTTGGATCTCAAAAAACTCGCACTATATCTGTACTACCTCGGTTTTTATTTATTATCCATTTTGAAAAAAAAAAATATCAAAGTCTGATAAAATCTTAATTTTCAATCATGGCACCTGTTTTTTTTTTAAAGTTATTTTTTTAAAGCCTTAAACATGAGTTATTTCGTAACACGCTTAGCACATATAGGTACATTACATAGCAAATAAGAAAACACCCAGACCAATTAAAAATTGTATACCTACTAGGTTATAAAAATTATTTTCCTGTGCGGAATGTGAACCAATAATCCGTAGTGCCGCAGACATACCTTTAGCCACTGTGCTACCGGACCTTTATCTAATTTTCATTATTCATGCTTATTTGTACTTAAAAAAAGGTTTTTTTTTGTGAGTTACTGACATTTGGGTTCTACTGTGTTCAAAAGATTTAAAACAAAAAACTGCATACCATTTTCAAAAATGTATTAAAATTGTGTTGCCTGAAGATAAAGACATAAATCACAGACGGTCTTCCTCTGCGACCTTGCCTCATAACGTTCAATTTTATTGACTGCAATAAACTAAAGCAATGGTTAAATCAACACCGCTATATCGATATAAACACGTCGTAAATATCATGTTACTCTTTTACACTCACATAATCTGTGCATGTTCGAAAAGGACAGTCGCA